TACCAAGGATCCAAAGCGGGCTCTGCGCCGACATTAGCGAGCCTGACGCGGGCTTGAACTCGCAAACCAGGAGATCATGACCTGGGCTGAAGTCAGACACTCAACCAACTGAGCCACCCAGGTGCCCCCTAAATCATCTGTTCTTAAGTGACAGGGCTGTGATCCCTCAATGGGTCCTTTCCTCCTGAAGCTCTTAATTTCTCTCAGGCGGTATTTTTTCCTATACGTGTACAGTGCTCCCTTATCAATGTCTGCTGACTTGAGCTGTCTGGAGACAATGTCTTTAGTAACATTACACCAGAGAAAGAAATTATTCCGAAGAAAAACAGATCCAAATCAGTTACAGACACACACTTTTTTGGTAATCCGTGGAGGACAGATAGTGACAATGTATCTGCAGAAACATTTTGTGAGTGCCTACCATGAGTCAGGTTTTCTACATCATGTCCTTTATTCTGCTGTATCATTTATCTTCATATATTATTTATGGCACAACTTCATTTTACAGATGAGGAGACAAAGGCTCCTTAGGCTGAGCGACTCGCCCAAGGTGGCAGAGCGGACTCTAAGGCCGCGTGCCTTCCACTAAAATACATTTCCCCTGAACAGCGAAACTCCCGTCAAAGAAGTGCAGAGGGCTTTGAAGTCTGGCTTGTGCTCCCCAACCACAGGCAGAGCGACTCCTACAGAATGTGCCAGGGTACGGCCGAAACGTGAAGACCTTGGGTACCTCAAGTGTTCTTCTCACCAGTCCCCAGTCCATCTTGGGGGGAAGAAATCACACCACTACTTGGTGCTTTGGTTTCCCCAAAGTGAGAAATGGGAAGTATGATCTACTGCCTTGAACTTTTAAGAATGCCATCACATAGATGAGAACAGTTTGGAAACAAAAGGGCCATGTAATCGCATGGTCGAAAATCCATGTCATTTTCCAGTTACTATTTCTAGTTTAGTCACCAGCTGCATCACAAGTTACAGACCTAACATCCTCATCAGTTCCTAGAGAAGGAACAGCAGAGGACAGGGGGAGTAGCAGCCTTACCAGCAGTAGTCCAACAGGTGTGGAGGAAGGACGGGGATGTACACGTGCTGCCAGAACATGGGGTAGAGCATCGCGGCAGACCCGTGGATGCAGGCAGTCAACTGCAACAGAAGCAAATCAAAGAATCAGAGCTAAAAAATCACAGTGAGGGGGCACCCGGGCGGCTCAGTCTTTTAAGTATCCGACTTCAGCTCGGGTCACGATCTTGTGGTTCTTGAGTTCGAGCCCCGCATCGGGCTCTCTGCTATCAGCATGGATACTTTGTCCACCCCCCCTCTTCCCCTCCCCCACTCATTCTCTCTTCCTGTGTGTGTGTGTGTGTGTGTGTGTGTGTGTCTTTCTCAAACATTTAAAGAAAATCAAAGTAAGGAGATGCTGTCACTGGAGTTGAGCAATAAAATTAGATACATACTTTTCAACATATTTAAATTTTTTTTTTTCAACGTTTATTTATTTTTGGGACAGAGAGAGACAGAGCATGAACGGGGGAGGGGCAGAGAGAGAGGGAGACACAGAATCAGAAACAGGCTCCAGGCTCTGAGCCATCAGCCCAGAGCCTGACGCGGGGCTCGAACTCATGGACCGCGAGATCGTGACCTGGCTGAAGTCGGACGCTTAACCGACTGCGCCACCCAGGCGCCCCACAACATATTTAAAATTGTAAGCTAATCCAATCACTCTAATTCAAATTTAGTGAGAGCTTGCTTTTCAAAAGAAATCTCCCCCCACCTGCCCCAATTATGAGGCTAATGCACAATGGACAGTAAAAGTTTTAGAAAATGGAGAAAAGGGATAAAAGAAAATAAAAGTCTTCACCATCTGAAAATAACTTGACATTTTGGGGTATTACATACATTGGCACTTTTATTTCCTTTTCTAATAAAATTAGGATTACTGTAAATACAGTGCTCGTTTACCTTTTTTTAAGTTTATGTTTATTTGCTGGCATTTTCCCACGTCCTCAAATATTCTTAGGAAACATTATCTTCTAATGACACTCAGTGAATTTCCCAAACTACATTTAACTACTCTCCCACCATTATGTTATATAATCAGATCATGTCCATACTTTCTTTTTTTTAATTTATTTATTTCAGACAGAGAGCCTGAGCAGGGGAGGGGCAGAGAGAGAGAGAGGGAGAGAGAGAATCCCAAGCAGACTCCATGCTGTTAGCACAGAGCCTGATGCAGGGCTCAATCCCATGAACCAATGAGATCATGACCTGAGCTGAATCAAGAGTCAGACGCTTAACAGATTGAGCCACTCAGTCTGCCCCATGTCAATACTTTTTATACACGGTTCCTAAATATAGGATTCAGAGACAAAGGTTATAAATATTTTAAGGCACTTAATAACTATAATATAATAAATGTAATAATATAATAAAGAATGGAGTCTCTTTGCACTCCCACAGCCATGTACTAGACTGTTCTCTCCATACTTCACCAGCACTAAGAACGTAGTCAAGTTAGTAGCTTTGAAAGTGTATCTATCTGGATTTTCTTCTTATTCCTCTGATCATGACTAAGGCTTAACCTCTTGTCACTGTTCTTGGTAATATTTCTTAGGTAAATGGTCTGTTCGCATTCTTAGTATTTTGAGCATTAGTATTTTGAAAAAGTAATTTACAAGCAAACACTGGATATACAAAGGATGCTAATCCTTTGTAACATTCCTGAAAATAATTTATCCTTCTGTAATTTCCTTTGCGCTTCTGGGGGAAGAGAAGGCTTAAATAATTACACAGACAAATCTTTTCCTTCATGATGGTTTCTACTGCTGTTATACTAAGAAAGTCCTCCAAATTCTTCCCCGGTATTTAACTCTTTGATCCATCTGGAATTAATTTAGGTTTAAGGACGGAGGTGAGAATTTATTTTTTCCACATAGTTAATCAATTGCCCCAACACTGTTTATTGACTAATCCTTCCGCTCCGTCTTCTTTTGACATATTCCTTCTTTTTCTTAAGAGCTAGACACATCATCTGAGGATTTGAGAGAATTAAAAATTAGGGACAAAGACATAATGGAATAAAATTGCTACAAAATTCAATATAGAAGGAAAAAACCCAACACCTTTGGAGATGAAGCGACAAAAGCCAACAACACATGTTTCTTTCTGCCTTTCTTCTTTAATGTTTCTTTGGTTTCTGGGAAGCCTGTTCCCATGAGGACTTTGCTTCTTTTGGAAGCTGTTAACTGGCCTTTGCTGACAGAAGGACATTTACGTGGCGAAAGAGTGACGTGCCAAGGCCCAGTTAAAAGAATCCCAGAGGTTAGTGTAACATGAACAGCTTTAAATTGGATATTCTGCTGATGTTTCACAGTTGTGAGAGCTGTGTATTAAATCCAGGGCCGCTACTTTCTCCCCCGCCTCCTTTTCCCTCCAGACCCTGTTCTTTAAATCAGGTACATGTCATGAACAGGAGCTGATCCAGCAAGCTCTCAAGAGCTGTTCCCAGCGACTCCGCCAAGGCTTGTAGGTTTAATCCATCCCTTCTCAACCCATTTCAGTAGGATTCCATATAAAGAAGGCTGTCACATTTTACATGACTAATCTCTTCAGGGTTAGAAGAGATGAAAAATCTTTGCTGGTGTCGTATGAATGGAAAATGAACAAACTTCACTCCAACTGCACCCTGAAGTCAGGCTGGAGGGCTACGCTGGCTTTGGGCCCCAGCTCTTCCTGCCCATACTTTAACCAGCTGCCAAAGTACTCATCCTAAAATGCAGGTCCGGTCATGTAACATCCTACTTGGAGTCTTTGGGGGCACGTCTGGAGCAGGCCTGTCTCCATCAACTTTCAGTCTACCTGTAGAGCAGCTCCATGGTCTTTACTGCCTTCTCCAACTTTATCCTTTGAATAAATCATTTCAGACTGAGGAGTAGCTATGTACTCCTTTCCTGGATCTGTGCCCCTAGCAAACTCCTCCTCTTCTGGGTCTCTGCGAAAGCACTACATTCCCCTCACGGCTCTCCTGGGTGTAAGCCCCCATTATTAATGGGACTAGACCTGTCTGCATATTTGTCCTCTCACTGTAAGGCCCAGAAAGACCATGTCTCTCTTCTTCCCCATGTTCTCTCAGTGGCACAGCACAGATGTAGGTGGAAGTTAATGCAATGTTTCTTCCATAAATAAAAAAACAATTCCAACTTAAAATATATTCACAATATAAAGATAGTGGCCTGGCTTTCAACTATCGGACCAACATTTCCATGAGTCTCACAGACTGGGGTATATGACTCAAATTCCAAAACAATAATGGCAAGCCCAGACACACAAATATGCCACTTTTGGGAAATCGTGTCAATGGATTCATTCATCCATTCATTCAACAAATGTCTATTCTATAACTCTGCAACACATCAAATAAGTAAGTAAAAGCCCTTCAAAATCTATAAGGTGACATACAAACATAAGATGTCCTCATCACGCGAATTCACTTGTAATTCTCTTTGAAAAAGTCATTCAATAGAATGTTCCTGGTTGAGATAGAACTTGATTCCCTGCCTCTCTTTAGCTTAAGTTGGTTTGAGTCAAAATCCTATTTCAAGCAATAAAGTGGCAGAGATCTTAGCTCCAGACAATGTTCTTTTCATGTCTCCTTTTCCTTAAAAAAACAAAAAACAAAAACCCTAAAAGTTAAATGTCAAGATTTTAAAATTACCTATCTCTCATAAAAATCAAACTTTTAAGGTGTTTCATCATCATCTTCATTGGGAGTTTTCTAAAGGCCAAATCTCTGCAATTGAAGTAAAATGCATTTACCCATTTGATTACGAAAACAAACAAACAGGAAAACTGTTTGACTCTTTTCCAAAACACTAAGTGGCAAAACAATGTACATCGTTACTTAGGAATAGTGGTGAGGCAACCACAAGAAAAGTGCTGGGATTTATCAGAGCTTCATCAGAAATAACATTATATCCCATAAATTATCATCAGCCACTTAATTTAAAAACACCTCTAAGGCCAACTCCATTTTTAAAACTAAGGTTCCTAAAAGCCTATGCTCATTCCTTACAGAATACAAAATTTTAAAGTAATGGAAGTATACAATTTGGATTACAGGCAACAAAGGGGCATTGTGAATATTTAATTGAAGTGCAAGTTGAAGAAAATGATCCTATCAAAATCTCACTCAGTGGGAGAATAGAAAGATAGTATGTGTAAAATTTGCCCAAAGTCATTAGTCACAATGAATATTCATCAGAAGCCAATTATCAATCCCATTTAATGACACCCCAAAAGATTTTGCCCTGAAGCAGCTGAATAGTCTAAGACTCCAGACAAAACTAGACAAATTATACAGCCAACAGCCAGTCTAGCCAGGACACAGATTGTAAAGTAAACCACTGGTGGGTTTCTAGACGCACTTTTAGTAAATTCTGTCCTCAATTAAAGGTGCACAAGGTCAGTTCTATCTTGGAGCTTTCTGTATGGCTCCATTAGTTTTCTCTGAGGCAAAGGGAGAGAAAGAAAGAAGGCAATAGGGATAGGACATGGAGAGTGATAAATGATAGAGCTGGAAAAATCACAGAGAGAGAGAGAGGGAGAGAGAGAGAGAGAGAGAGAGAGAGTGTGTGTGTGTGTGTGTGTGTAAAGATTCCTAATGGCAGCTCGGCAGTTCAACATGAAACAAAAGTAAGACTCTCTCCATGGAAAAAAAAAAAAAAAAAAAGGAATCCCAACAGTGTTATGTGCCAGGTACCATGTTGGGGATTTTAGGATATTGCAAAGTATTGTTTAAGAAGTGTGCAGTTTACATACATATACAGTCATCACCACATTTCAGATACGGAAACAGCCTCAAAGGTGAAATAACTTGCCCAAAGCCACACGGCTCATAAGTGACAGAACTGGGACTCACATCCAGGTCTGTCAGGCTATAATAGCTGCTGTGTTTCCACAACATGTAAGTTAACTAAAAAAATTTCTGAGTGTCTACCCTGTGTCTACACATCATACGGAGGATTCTGAATTAGGCAAGATACTGTTCCTATCAGTATGGCCACGTTATGTAGAAATACATTTGCCGTGCTGTTAGATGACCAAATCATCTGGTAAAGTGCCAATTAACAGAAAATAATCATTTTTAA